CAGCGAAGGACCACTGCTGGGGGGGGCTTCTTGAGATTCCCTGCACCACCGCATAGACGCCAGGGAAAGGCTATTCAGCAGCTAAGAGTGAGAGGGAGGGATTAGGCATGCGTGAATTACGGAAACAACGTACCTGCTGCTGTCAGCTGCTCTTGGCCCTCCTCCTCAAACCACTTCTGGTACTGCTGGCGGACAGATGCCTTGAAGCTCTTGTTGATGGAGACGTCGAGAGGCTGAACCTCAGCCGTACATCCCGACGGGATTACTGCAGGCACGCAGTTGAGCTCGCGGAACTTCTCCTTTACCCCCTCAATAAGGTGGCCGCGGTAGGAATCCAGCACGAGCATGGAGCTCTTTGCACACCTGCCAAATCGGGGCTTCAAGAACGGCTTGACGCACTCCTCAAGCCAGCGGATAACGCCTTCTGCGTCTATCCACCCCTTCTCGTGGCACACGATGACCACATCTGCACACACAAAAGGCACATTAACTGTTAGCGCGGCATGAGAAACAATAGCATACGGTAAGAGCGGCAATTGCTATATCCTACCTGGCGGAAAGTCGCCCTTCGGCATTGTCTTCCGCTTGAAAAACACCCACGGCTTGAGCTTCACCCCGTCCGTTGTGCAAGCCAGCATCACGGTCACACGCTCCTTCTGGTAACCTCCACTCCTTATGGGCACTGACCGTACACCCGTGGTGGTGGTGGCCATCTCCAGCCACAGCGGCGTCTGGTCGGCGTTGATGATCCAGCAGTTTTCGATGTCGCGCTCGCGACGCATGGCTCGCACAAAACGCCAGAACATCTTGCACTGATCCTCGACATCTGTGAGACGGGGGATGAGCGGGCGGGGTAGACGGCAGGTTAGTACATGAGAAAGACAAGGGGACATAAAAGCGGAGAATGAATTCTTACGAGAGGCAGTTTTCTGGGCAACCCGCGTCTTCATGCGGACGCTCAGATTCCACCGCTTCCGAAACCGTTCCGACCACCTCTGACTCCCTCTCCACTTGTCGAGAGGGTACAGGATCTTCATGAACTCCCTCAACCACTCCCGCAAACCGGACATGGCGGTTCCTTTACGGCTCCAGTCCAGGAGCCGCTCGTACACCTTCAACTCCATCGGGCGGTACCACGAGGCCCTCCCACGACCGTGCATGCGCTTCCGTGCGGAGTGTGCTTCTTTGAGAAACGCCGCTGCGGCCTTCCAGTTGGCGAGACACTTCCGGTGAATCCCAAGCTCCCGGGCCAGAGAGCGCAGCGACACCGTCCCATCCATCATCGCGACGTACTTCAGCTTCTCCGCGGCGGTGTACCCCTTGTGCTCGCTGATCTTGTGTCTGGGAGAGGGGGGGCGGGCATCACGGTTCTGGGGAGACGGGTGGGGTCGCTTGCGGTTAGCTGGCGGAAAGGAAGGTATCGACAGTTCCTCTGGGAGCCCATCACGTGACCAGTACTCGACACCGTCGTCGTCGTCGCCACCTGGTACACCCTCAGGAAAGACATCCTCGGCGGTGCCGCCTTGCGCACCACCTTCCTCACCCTCCTCGTCGTCAGCACGGCTCGCTTCCTCGTCCTCAGCCACGCCGTCGTCAGCTCCGAGTGCAGATTCGTCCCACGTGGTGCAATCTTCGGGCCGGCCCCAACGTGGTCCAGGGTAAGGTTCGCCGTGTACCCACTCATCTGGGGCCTTGTTGCTTTCCGGTTCCTCCAGCCACTTGTCGAACTCAGACGGAAGCAGGAGCGTGAGCACGGGCGGACCCGCCGAGGACACTCCGGAATCGGAGGAGACGGAGGAGCAGGAGGCTGCGGAGGTGCAGGCGGCACAGGAGGAGCAGGAGAAGCAGGCGGCTCAGGAGGCGCTGGAGGCTGTGGTGGCTCTGGTGGCTCTGCTGGTTCAGCTGGGACACGGGTGTACAATCCGTCGGCGTCGACTACATAGGCGGGTCTACGATTGGGCTTCTTCTTGAATAAAAAGTGTGTGCCCGTGAATTCCGCCATGGCTGTCGCAGCCAGGCGGGAGAAAGCAAGAAACGGAACGCCTCCACTAAATGAAGAATTGGAGGGGACCCCTTCAGGTTTGCGGCGCGGGGTCCTCGTCGGGGAAAGACAGGTGCCACCCTGCCTAAACCCGGAGAGGAGGGTATCGTGGCTCGTACCTGCCGCGCTGGCAGGCATATTCCACCCCCTTCTAGAGGGTTCGGGTGGTTTGTTGCAGCCTGGCAGCGCATGACTCTCCTATTGGGCCGCACGGCATGATGCACGTCATCGCTGGCAGGTGTGTTGCTCTGGGACAAGATTCGAGCGGTGGGAAATCGAAGCGCCCCTGTTTTCGCCGGAATTCCATGCACGAACCCATGCGCAGTGTACACAGTTGTGTTCGCCTTATTGTGGGCTTCAGTTTGGTACTCTTAAAAACTAAATTCAATTTTGCCATTATGTTAGCGCGGGCGCTTATGGCCGTTACTCAATTACAAGCGCCACCCCTAAAAAGTCAATACTTATAATAAGCGCATATGCGCTTTTATCCGGGGCCATACGGTACTATGTATTAATGTCTTATTAACAAAGTACATTTAGAAATAGTACCGTATTCTCCCGGACAAAACACCCCCCCATGATAGTACACCCCCGGGTAGCTTGTGCGGGGTGGGTGCTATAACCGACCTCGTTTGTACTATACCCCCCCTTTTGGGGTGATTCTCTATAACACCCCCCTTTTCTTAGAGATTCCTGTTATAGCTGTTATCGAGTCAGATTCCTTACGGGAGAATATCGCGAGAATCGCTTCCTATGTGAAATATTTGTCGAGAGAATTAGGCAAAAGAGGACTGAACTAGCAAGAATGGGGATACAAATAGCAAACCCTAGAAGGGTTGTACTCGCTACAGAGCACCCCACTACAGGCTAGAGCATAATATTCTGACACACCCCCATAGCCAAAGTGGGGTGTAATCAGCAGAGGAAACAAAGCAGTACAAGCTCAGGGTGGATCACGATGTCACCACACATTCTGAGCACAAGCAAGAAGCAATAGTTTAAGGTGCACAATTATGAGCAAAGCTAGAGGCAGTCACAAAAGGGGCAAGTGAGGAGGAGGAGGGCTGGCGAGAGGAGAGTAGATAGGAGGCGACGACTGAAGCTGCAGACACACGGGCAACAGACGGCTCTGGTGCGACAACGTGGCTACCGGGAATGAGTGCCCCGGAGTACAGGAGTAACAGGCTCCGCGGCTAATATGCGCGGCAGGAGCAACGGACCCACAGGCGACGGCGCAACCGGCTCTCTGAGCTACCGGGAATGAGTGCCCCGGAGTACAGGCGCTGCGTACGACACGACGGCAACCTCCGCTCAACCTCCTCCAACTGTCCCACACCCCTCGACACACACCCTCTGCTTCAAACCCTAGCTCCACTCCGACGGTACCCCCCTTAAACCCCAAACCCTAGGCTCCCACACACCACCCCCCTCAGCGGCAGCTGTAGCAGAGGGAGACGAGGGAGGAGGAGGAGCAGGGGGAGGAACTCACAACCGACACCCCCATAGCCGCCACCCCCACACTCTCCACCCCCAAACCCTAAAACGGGCGGAACGGGGGAAGGAGCGCGGGGGACGGCGAGGGGGACGGCGCGCGGCCCCCAGGACGCCACCACGGGGCAGCGAGGGGCCGCGCGCGGCTCCTTAGGGCGCCGCGACGGGAATTGGGGGGGGGGGGGGCCGCGGGCGACGGGACCGAGGGGCCGTGGGCGACGGGAAAGCGGGGCCGCGGGCGACAGAATTGAGGGGCCGCGGGCGACGGGAAAGCGGGGCCGCGGGCGACGGGATCGGGGGGCCGCGGGCGACGGGACCGAGGGGCCGCGGGCGACGGGAAAGCGGGGCCGCGGGCGACGGGATCGGGGGGACGCGGGCATCCCCCACGGGAGGAAACCGCCGCGCGCCTCGGGGCGCACGGCGGGGAGGCGTGCGGCGGGATGAAAAATCCGTAAAAAAAAAAATTCGCGCGACCAGTAGAACAGCAGCGGAAGCATTTGGTGGTGGGCCCACCCACAGGATCGACCCAACAGGATCGTCCTGCTCTGATAGCATGTCGAGAGAATTAGGCAAAAGAGGACTGAACTAGCAAGAATGGGGATACAAATAGCAAACCCTAGAAGGGTTGTACTCGCTACAGAGCACCCCACTACAGGCTAGAGCATAATATTCTGACAATATTCGCATGTACTTTCACTTAGAATCTGCCGACATTTTCCCCCTCCCACAATCTCGTTGTCGCCATCCTGGCGAATCTTTCGCTGCAAGTGGAAATTTCCTCCCTTCCACGATCTCGCTGTCGCCACGTTGGCGAATCTTCCGCTGCAAGTGGCGCGAGAGGTGAAACTCACATTCTCGCCTCAAATTGTGATGTTAAAACTACCATTGAAACACCCAAACTGTCTAATAAAAAAATACTCTTACATTGAATATGTCATATATAACCACCCGGGTATTATATAGGATTTTCCGTTGAGAGGACCCCCCCCCCTTTTTCCCTGTGGTTATCATAATACCCTTGGATGTTATGGGAATCTGCTGAAACAAACATGTAACAACTAGAGGTGTTTCGAATTAGAGAGAAGCACACCCCACTGATCGGGCGAAATGGACGATGCAAGAGAAATGCAAACGAAGCCGAACCCAAAAACAAGCGTTCACGCCATCTCACCCACTCACCATTCCGCCGATTCCCGAAGCGCCCACGCTCAAAGCAGCTACAGTACTAGGTATGTCGTAACTTTCAGCCGAGCAGCTTAGAAGCACTTGAAACTAAACCTACCCCTCCACCATCCCTGTTTTTGCGATGTTCTTGTAGAACGCAGGGAGTGCTGACATCATATATTGCTGACACACTCGAATTTCCCTTCGTCTAACCCCACTCCCCACGCTAACAACCCGCACTTTTGGAGAAACCGAAAGCCCGACATTCGTTCGCAACTCGACAACCCCCTCACTTTCACTTCCGATGGATGACGTCAGCTGTGACGCAGACAGCCCTCCCGACTCCCCGCCCTTCCGCCCGCCTCCCTCCGCCGCCGCGCTGGCGGACGACGACGAGGGGGAAACGCTGCTGGGGGTGCGCGCCGCCTTCCCCGCGTCGTTCGGCCGCCAGGAGCAGCGCGTCACGCCGCTCGAGGCCGTGCACGCGCAGACGGCGCGCGCACACGCGGAGCGCGCCGGGGTAAAGGGGAAAAAGAAGGCTGCGGGGATGAAGTTCAGCATTGGGCCGAGCCTAGCGAAGAGGTTAGGCGACGGGGCCAAGGCAGGGCTGGCGGGAACAGCAGCGGTGGGAGCAGCGGCGGTAGGAGCGGCGGGCGCTGGAGGTGTGGTGGAAAGGGGAGGGGCAGGCGGAGGAGCAGAGCGTGTGGGCGGAGGAGCAGAGCGTGCGGGGGGAGATGAAGCAACAGGGGGCAGCTTGAGGGGAGCGACGGGGGGCAGCTTGAGGGGAGCGACGGGGGGCAGCTGGAGGGAGAAAGGTGGTGCGCCCTGTGGCTCTGCGGGTGGGGCACACGGGGGGGCGGGTGGGGCAGGAGCGGTGAGGGATGGAGGTGCAGCAGATGGGCGGGGAGCAGCGGTGGTGCAGCGCGAGGGCGAGGGCGCGGGCGAGGGCGCGGGCGAGGGCGAGGGCGAGGGCGGGGGGGATGCCGAGGGGCATGCGGTAATCGGCCCTCCGCGCCCGCCGGGCCGCTTGGAGGACGGTGGTGGCGGCCGGATTGGGCCTCCTGCCCCTGGTGCTGCTGGCAGCAGACAGCAGCACGGTGGGCGGAAGAAGAGCCGCGCGGCAGGGCAGCAGGACGAGCAGAGGAGCGATGGGAGTGAGGAGGAGGATGAAGAGGAGGACGCAGAGGCAGGGGAGGAGGAAGAGGACGAGTTTGGAGTGCCGTTGAGCAATGAGATTGTGCTGGGGGGACACACCAAGGTGAGATTGTGCTGGGGGGGTGACACACCAAGGTGACATGCTCGCAGGGCACGCTGGCTGTAGCAGCCGGAGAGGCCACTGGCAACTGCGCCAGCCACACTTGGCAAGGCGAAGCGTTTCCCATGCCGTGTCAGCTGTCCCACCCATTTCTGCATTCGCCCCACCCATTTCTGCATTCGCCCCACCCGTGAACGACCAGCAAGCTCACCACGTGCCTCTGCTCACCACGTGCCTCTGCTCACCACGTGCCTCTGCTCACCACGTGCCTCTGCTCACCACGTGCCTCTGCTCACCACGTGCCTCTGCTCACCACGTGCCTCTGCTCACCACGTCGCTCTGCTCCGCTCCTCTGAACCCGCGGCGTGCAGGCAGTGGCGGCGCTGGCGGTGGATCCAACGGGCACGCGGGTGATCAGTGGCAGCTACGACTACTCGCTGCGCTTCTACGACTTCCACGGCATGGACTCGCGCCTCAAAGCCTTCCGCGACCTCGTGCCGTTTGACGGCCACCAAGTGCGCGCCGTGTCCTTCAGCCCCTCCGCTGACCTCTTCATCACCGCCACCGGCAACGCCCAGGCTAAGGTGCGCCCAGGCTAAGGTGCGCCCAGGCTAAGGTGACGTGCGCCCAGGCTAAGGTGCGCCCAGGCTAAGGTGCGCCCAGGCTAAGGTGCGCCCAGACTAAGGTGCGCCCAGGCTAAGGTGCGCCCAGGCTAAGGTGCGCCCAGGCTAAGGTGACGTGCGCCCAGGCTAAGGTGCGCCCAGGCTAGGCTAAGGTGTGCCACTGGCAACGCGCACGCTAAGGTGCGCCCTGGGGCCACCCTCCCTCTCTTCTCCCCTCTTCCTTGCTTCACAACAGTTTTTTACTCTGACCAGGGCGAAGTGAATGTTGTGTTCTTGCTGCCTCTCCCTTCCATTCTCACCAGACGTTTCCGTCCGTTGGTCTTTCTCATGGGAATTCTGCAGAATCTCCCTTGTGCTGACAACCGCCCTGCTGCTCGCGCCATTTTCCCCCTCGCCCCTGACCATGCGGTGCGGTGCTATGCGGTCCGGTGCTATGCGGTGCGATGGCATGGCAGGTGTACGACAGGGACGGGCGCAGCAAGGGCGAGTTGGTGCGGGGGGACATGCACATCTTGTGTTTTGAGGCGCCTCAAAACACACCTCATGTACATCCGCGACCTGCGCAACACCAAGGGGCACATCGCGGGGCTTTTGAGGCGCCTCAAAATGCGGTGCTATGCGGTGCTATGTGGTGCGCGATGGCAGGTATACGACTGGGATGGGCGCAGCAAGGGCGAGTTCGTGCGGGGGGACATGTACATCCGCGACCTGCGCAACACCAAGGGGCACATCGCGGGGCTTTTGAGGCGCTTCAAAATACGGTGCTATGCGGTGCTTTGCGGTGCTATGCGGTGCGCGATGGCAGGTGTATGACAGGGACGGGCGCAGCAAGGGCGAGTTCGTGCGGGGGGACATGTACATCCGCGACCTGCGCAACACCAAGGGGCACATCGCGGGGCTTTTGAGGCGCTTCAAAATACGGTGCTATGCGGTGCTTTGCGGTGCTATGCGGTGCGCGATGGCAGGTGTATGACAGGGACGGGCGCAGCAAGGGCGAGTTCGTGCGGGGGGACATGTACATCCGCGACCTGCGCAACACCAAGGGGCACATCGCGGGGCTTTTGAGGCGCTTCAAAATACGGTGCTATGCGGTGCTTTGCGGTGCTATGTGGTGCGCGATGGCAGGTGTATGACAGGGACGGGCGCAGCAAGGGCGAGTTCGTGCGGGGGGACATGTACATTCGCGACCTGCGCAACACCAAGGGGCACATCGCGGGGCTCACCACGGCGCAGTGGCACCCGTGCGAGCGCCACACCGCGCTCACCGCGTCCGATGACGGCTCGCTGCGCATCTGGGATGTGCGCGACTTCAAGTCGCAGAAGAAGGTGCGCTCAAATCAAGCTACCTCCCCATGTGCGCTCAAGCTACCTCCCCATGTGCGCTCAAGCTGCCTCCTCCATGTGCGCTCAAGCTGCCTCCCCCATGTGCGCTCAAGCTGCCTCCCCCATGTGCGCTCAAGCTGCCTCCCCCATGTGCGCTCAAGCTGCCTCCCCCGTGTGTGTACCGTGTGTTTGTGATTGGATTCGCTGCTCTTGCCCCAACCGCTGGCCACACAGCTTGAGAATCCCACTGTGGGCAAACTTGTTATTCTCGGGCTCCTCGCTCCCTTCCCCACTGGCAGGTGGTGAAGCCGAAGCTGGCGCGGCCGGGGAGGGTGCCGGTGACAGCAGCGGAGTGGGGGCCTGATGGCCGCCTCGTGGCTGCTGGCCTCAACGATGGCTCGCTGCAGGTACGGGACGGGCAGGCGTGGCGTGGCGGGGCGAGGCGTAACGGGGCGTGGCGTGGCGGGGCGTGGCGTGGCGGGGCGTGGCGTGGCGGGGCGTGGCAAGGTGTGGTGTGGTGTGTGGTGTGGTGTGGTGTGGAGAGAGGAACGGGGCATGTGAGTGTATGATAATGGCCTTAGCTGGCGCAGCATTAACGACAACACATGGCATCAACATGGTGGAGATACCTCTACACCCGCCTGGGCATGACGTCCACCCGCCATGGCATGACGTCCATCTTTTGTTTGTACCTCGCATGTCTTGCTCACACGTCTGTGTGCTGTGCTGCTGCCTCTCACTGTGCCCCACAGCGCACAGCCCTCCGTACCCCCCCTCGTCCTCCGCCACTGCTCCTCTCTCACTGCCCTTGGTGAACCCCCCATGTGTGACAGGTGTGGAATGTGAAGGCAGGGTGGGGAGCGTGTTTTGAGACGTCTCAAAACAAATCACTGCCCCTCTCACTGCCCTTGGTCAACCCCCCCATGTGTGTCCTGGCAGGTGTGGAACGTGAAGGCAGGGTGGGGGTCGCTGCCGGACCTGCTGTGCACCGATGCACATGAGAGGGGCGACGACATCACGGGCGTCTCCTTCTGCTCCGATGCCTCCCTGCTCGTCTCCCGCTCCATGGATGGCACCATGAAGGTGATGACGTGGATGGCACCATGAAGGTGATGACGTGGCACCATGAAGGTGATGACGTGGCACCATGAAGGTGATGACGTGGATGGCACCATGAAGGTGATGACGTGGATGGCACCATGAAGGTGATGACGTGGATGGCACCATGAAGGTGATGACGTGGATGGCACCATGAAGGTGATGACGTGGATGGCACCATGAAGGCGATGACGTGGATGGCACCATGAAGGCGATGACGTGGATGGCACCATGAAGGTGATGACGTGGATGGCACCATGAAGGTGATGACGTGGATGGCACCATGAAGGTGATGACGTGGATGGCACCATGAAGGTGATGGCGTGGATGGCACCATGAAGGTGATGACGTGGATGGCACCATGAAGGTGATGACGTGGATGGCACCATGAAGCTAAGTTGGATATTACGCTTACGTTTACGTACGTTTTACGTTTACGTTTACGTACGTTTTACGTTACGCGCGAGGTGCTGGAATGAGTTTAGGTTTGCGGGCAGATTTTTTTTTCTTTAGCTGCCTGGCTAAAGCAAAACTTTTGAAGGGATTCGGAAATGGCAACATCACTATAGAAGATAAATTCATACACACAAAAATTTATACGCATCACAAGGTGAGGCGTGTTACTTTTCGCGAGGTGTACAACCCAGCTCGCGCTTTGCCCCCTTCACGCTATCGCACGAGGCATCGCGTCCCCCCAATCCGTTACACCAAGTCACTTACCCTCCAACTTTCACTACTTACGCGAGACTCAGAAGGCTGCGCTCGATGCTAGTGTGTTTAGATGCACGACCTAATGCTACTTCGTAGATCGATCTACCATGACGAGCTAAGATCTAGAACTCCTACCTTACTCTATAATTTTTAGTTACGACCAACCTTCTTAGCATCTCGCCAGGCTGTATCCGCTGCCCTGAACGGTCCCGTAACAACATTCCGCCAAAGATATAGACCGGGGAAACAATTCGGCCATTTTTTTTCCACTGAAAATTTTTACCTGCCCAGACTCAAGTTACGCGTATTTACGCGTACGTAAACGTAAACGTAATGTTACGCGTAACATTACGTTTACGTAGGTCCAGGGACGTACGGACCCATCTTAGCCATGAAGGTGATGACGTGGATGGCACCATGAAGGTGATGACGTGGATGGCACCATGAAGGTGATGACGTGGATGGTACCATGAAGGTGATGACGTGGATGGCACCATGAAGGCGATGACGTGGATGGCACCATGAAGGTGATGACGTGGATGGCACCATGAAGGTGATGACGTGGATGGCACCATGAAGGTGATGACGTGGATGGCACCATGAAGGTGACGAGTGCACTGCACACGTGCATGCATTGAAAGGAGTGGAGGGTGCAGGTGTGTGGCGTGAGTTGAGGGTGCAGGTGTGTGGCGTGAGTTGAGGGTGCAGGTGTGTGGCGTGAGTTGAGGGTGCAGGTGTGTGGCGTGAGTTGAGGGTGCAGGCGTGTGGCGTGAGTTGAGGGTGCAGGTGTGTGGCGTGAGTTGAGGGTGCAGGTGTGTGGCGTGAGTTGAGGGTGCAGGTGTGTGGCGTGAGTTGAGGGTGCAGGTGTGTGGCGTGAGTTGAGGGTGCAGGTGTGTGGCGTGAGTTGAGGGTGCAGGTGTGTGGCGTGAGTTGAGGGTGCAGGTGTGTGGCGTGAGTTGAGGGTGCATTTGTGTGGCGTGAGTTGAGGGTGCAGGTGTGTGGCGTGAGTTGAGGGTGCAGGTGTGTGGCGTGAGTTGAGGGTGCAGGTGTGTGGCGTGAGTTGAGGGTGCAGGTGTGTGGCGTGAGTTGAGGGTGCAGGTGTGTGGCATGAGTTGAGGGTGCAGGTGTGTGGCGTGAGTTGAGGGTGCAGGTGTGTGGCGTGAGTTGAGGGTGCAGGTGTGTGGCGTGAGTTGAGGGTGCAGGTGTGTGGCGTGAGTTGAGGGTGCAGGTGTGTGGCGTGAGTTGAGGGTGCAGGTGTGTGGCGTGAGTTGAGGGTGCAGGTGTGTGGCGTGAGTTGAGGGTGCAGGTGTGTGGCGTGAGTTGAGGGTGCAGGTGTGTGGCGTGAGTTGAGGGTGCAGGTGTGTGGCGTGAGTTGAGGGTGCAGGTGTGTGGCGTGAGTTGAGGGTGCAGGTGTGTGGCGTGAGTTGAGGGTGCAGGTGTGTGGCGTGAGTTGAGGGTGCAGGTGTGTGGCGTGAGTTGAGGGTGCAGGTGTGTGGCGTGAGTTGAGGGTGCAGGTGTGTGGCGTGAGTTGAGGGTGCAGGTGTGTGGCGTGAGTTGAGGGTGCAGGTGTGTGGCGTGAGTTGAGGGTGCAGGTGTGTGGCGTGAGTTGAGGGTGCAGGTGTGTGGCGTGAGTTGAGGGTGCAGGTGTGTGGCGTGAGTTGAGGGTGCAGGTGTGTGGCGTGAGTTGAGGGTGCAGGTGTGTGGCGTGAGTTGAGGGTGCAGGTGTGTGGCGTGAGTTGAGGGTGCAGGTGTGTGGCGTGAGTTGAGGGTGCAGGTGTGTGGCGTGAGTTGAGGGTGCAGGTGTGTGGCGTGAGTTGAGGGTGCAGGTGTGTGGCGTGAGTTGAGGGTGCAGGTGTGTGGCGTGAGTTGAGGGTGCAGGTGTGTGGCGTGAGTTGAGGGTGCAGGTGTGTGGCGTGAGTTGAGGGTGCAGGTGTGTGGCGTGAGTTGAGGGTGCAGGTGTGTGGCGTGAGTTGAGGGTGCAGGTGTGTGGCGTGAGTTGAGGGTGCAGGTGTGTGGCGTGAGTTGAGGGTGCAGGTGTGTGGCGTGAGTGTGCATCCACACTGTGGACTGCCCCTCCCACCACTGCATGCTGGAACCACCTTCAGCTCCCATTCTCCTGCTCTGCCTTGTGTGAGCTCCTACCGTGCACTCCTAGTCTCTTTCTCTCACCATCGCCTGTGAGGGTGCCTGTGAGGGTGCCTGTGAGGGTGCCTGTGAGGGTGCCTGTGAGGGTGCCTGTGGAGGAGCACCCCGATCACTGAGCTTTGTGAGGGTACCCCAATCACTCTCAACACTCCAATTCTTCTTCTTCTCTCCTTCACTTCCCCCATCCCTCCCTTCCTTTTCCATCTCTTCCTCATCCCGTTTCATTCCCATCCTCTAATTCCCGCATTCCATTTCTCCCGCATCCTGTATTCACTTTCCTTATTTCGCCCACCCTAATGTAACTCATATTTTCCTTATCCTTGATTCCCTTGTTCCTTAACCCCCCTTATTTCCCCCCCCTCCCCCCCTCCCCATTTCCCACCGCCCACCCGCCCCACCATCATATCTTACCAATCTCTTATTCTCCTTGTCCCTTATCCTCCTTTTTCCGTATCCCCATTGTACCCCCCGGCTGTCAACCCCCCCGTGGCCTCATGCGCAGGTGTGGGACGTGCGCAAGTTCAAGCAGCCCGTGAAGGTGTTCCCTGACCTGCCCAACCACTACCAGCAGACCAACGTGGCGTGGAGCCCTGACGAGCGCCTCTTCTTCACCGGCACCTCCGCTGAGAAGGGCGGCCGCGGCGGGCAGGTGAGGCTGGGCTGGGGGGAGAGGATGCGCGCAGGAAAGAAGAGAAGGATGAGCGGAGGGGGGGTAGAGAAGAGAAGTTGAACGGAAAGAAGGTGACAGGAAAGTTAGTGCAGGATAGCATGACGGAGATGAGGAAAGCTGAACAAGGAGGAGTGAGGGACGTGAAGAGCAGTCGATATGGGTAGTGGAGGAGCACTTCAATCACTGAGCAGCACCAGGCCATGCAGAGTTTTTCGTCCTCCTGATTGGTACGCACGCTGATTGGTACGCACGCTGATTGGTACGCACGCTGATTGGTACGCACGCTGATTGGTACGCACGCTGCTTGGTACGCATGCTGATTGGTACGCACGCTGATTGGTACGCACGCTGATTGGTACGCACGCTGATTGGTACGCACGCTGATTGGTACGCACGCTGATTGGTACGCACGCTGATTGGTACGCACGCTGCTTGGTACGCACGCTGATTGGTACGCACGCTGCTTGGTACGCACGCTGCTTGGTACGCACGCTGCTTGGTACGCACGCTGATTGGTACGCACGCTGATTGGTACGCACGCTGCTTGGTACGCACGCTGATTGGTACGCACGCTGATTGGTACGCACGCTGCTTGGTACGCACGCTGGGTGGGTACGCACGCTGATTGGTACGCACGCTGATTGGTACGCACGCTGATTGGTACGCACGCTGATTGGTACGCACGCTGATTGGTACGCACGCTGCACTGGTACGCACGCTGATTGGTACGCACGCTGATTGGTACGCACGCTGCTTGGTACGCACGCTGATTGGTACGCACGCTGCACTGGTACGCACGCTGATTGGTACGCACGCTGATTGGTACGCACGCTGCTTGGTACGCACGCTGATTGGTACGCACGCTGATTGGTACGGACGCTGATTGGTACGCACGCTGATTGGTACGCACGCTGCTTGGTACGCACGCTGATTGGTACGCACGCTGATTGGTACGCACGCTGATTGGTACGCACGCTGCTTGGTACGCACGCTGATTGGTATGCGCGCTGATTGGTACGCACGCTGATTGGTACGCACGCTGCGTGGTACGCACGCTGATTGGTACGCACGCTGATTGGTACGCACGCTAATTGGTACGCACGCTGATTGGTACGCACGCTGATTGGTACGCACGCTGCACTGGTACGCACGCTGATTGGTACGCACGCTGATTGGTACGCACGCTGCTTGGTACGCACGCTGGGGTGGTACGCACGCTGATTGGTACGCACGCTGATTGGTACGCACGCTGATTGGTACGCACGCTGATTGGTACGCATGCTGATTGGTACGCACGCTGCACTGGTACGCACGCTGATTGGTACGCACGCTGATTGGTACGCACGCTGCTTGGTACGCACGCTGATTGGTACGCACGCTGATTGGTACGCACGCTGATTGGTACGCACGCTGATTGGTACGCACGCTGCTTGGTACGCACGCTGATTGGTATGCACGCTGATTGGTACGCACGCTGATTGGTACGCACGCTGCGTGGTACGCACGCTGATTGGTACGCACGCTGATTGGTACGCACGCTGATTGGTACGCACGCTGGGGTGGTGCATGGTGAGTACGAGCAGGCAGGCAGAGAAGAATCTCCGGTAGTCTCGCCTCCACCACTCGCTCACCCGGCCGTCCTTCAAGCACTGTCCTGTTTTCCTGCGCTACCTGCTCGTCTACCTCCTCCAGCTTGGTTGGCAGCGTGCATGTTGTGGGGATGGGTTTCCTCGCATCTCTGCACCATCCTCCTCCTCGCACTCGTCTTGGTTCGCTCAAAGTGGGTGCATGTCTCAGCAGCTGAGGATTGCCACAAGGCAACCCTCGAACCAGGCCTGGTCACAAGGCAACCCTCGAACCAGGATCTGTCATATTGGTCAACACGTAAAGACTTGTACTTTGCATCAAAGTCTTTGTAGGGTATGAAACCTATGGAACTGATCCTCACCTGAATCTAACCTCAGGACAGCTAGCTTATATGGTATCAAAGTCTTTGTAGGCATTTATTGCCAATTTCGCAACGCTGCCTTGCTTATTGTTCTTCCCACCCATCGCACCACCCGCATCCTACGTGCCCTGCCCTGACATGTGCCCTGACATGGGGCCTCACCTCAAGCAGCTGCACTTCTACTCCAAGGAGTCGCTGGACCTCGTGCGCGTCACGGGCGTGTCGCCCGACCAGAGCGTTGTGCGCGTGCTGTGGCACGCACGCCTCAACCAGGTGGGTGCTGCTTCTTTCCCATCCCAATCAGATCGCTACTGCTTCCTACCACACTGTCAGCACTCTAATGTGTCATCTCTCTCCTTTCCATCAGGTCCATAACAGCCAACACCTGCCAGGTAAAAGCCCCAACCCCCATCTCACGCACATCCGGTTTCATCCGACCCTTCCCCGCACGAAACGAAACCCCACCCTCGCCCGATCTCCACCAGATATTCGCCACATGTGGCGACAAGAAGGCGGGCGGCACGCACATCCTCTACGACCCCACGCTCAGCGAGCGCGGTGCACTAGTGTGCGTGGCGCGGGCCCCCCGCGCGCCGCGGCCCGAGGACCTGTGTGCGCGCGTGGCAGCGCCCGCCATCCGCAACCCGCATGCACTGCCCATGTTCCGCGACGAGCCCAGCCGCAAGCGCCAGCGCGAGAAGGCGCGCAAAGACCCCGTGGCGAGCCAGCGACCCGACCTGCCGATGGAGGGCCCGGGGCACGGCGGGCGCGTGGGGCAGACCAAGGGCACCCTGCTCACCCAGTACCTGCTCCGCGTGCGTGCTGCCCCCTGCCCCCTGCCCCCTGCCTGCCTGCTGCCTGTCTGCCTGCCTGCTGCTTCCTGCTGCCGCGGCAGTTTTTGTTTTACATGCTGAGAACATGGGCATGGGTTCTGGCAGTAGTTGGGATGAAGAGCCTGAGAGCCAGTTGTAAGGGACCAATTCCCCTTTTCTTCCTCTCCCCTCCCCGATCCCTCCCCATATCCCCAACCACTCCCCCGTTTTGAACCTTTCCCTCGTGTGTGTGTGCGTGCGGTGCACGGGCAGGAGGGCGGGCTGCTGAAGGAGACATGGATGGAGGAGGACCCGCGCGAGGCCATTCTCAAGTACGCCGACGCGGCGGCTAAGGACCCGCAGATCATTGCCCCTGCATATGCTGCCACGCAGCCCACCACGCTGTTCCACGAGTCCGATGACGAGGACCAGGACTAGCGCTGAGTCGCTGACACACGCTCCAGTGTGAAGATTCGTGCAACTCCTCTTTCCACTGACAGTGTTGAATGATCGCATAGAGTTTTGTGATTCATGTCGGCATGGCATAGATAGAGCAGTCTCTAGAGTAGCAAAACACTTAAAGCAAAAACGGATGATTGTAATTGTCAGTTGAAGGGAGAATCTCAAGTGCGTAGCCTTTGGTTTGGACTTGTTCATCGGCAAGCTGACGTGTCCATTGGCAAGCTGACGTGTTTATCGGTAAGTTGACGTGTTCATCAGCAAGCTGGCTGACGTGTTCATCAGCAGGCTGGCTGACGTGTTCATTGGCAGGCTGGCTGACGTGTTCATTGGCAAGCATCTGATAGGTAGTACGGTATCTTACGGTAGATTATTCTAGCAGATGACGCATACCGTATTATATTACGATCTAAGAGCGTGCCGGTATACAGTATTTTGTATTACCGTGCTCATATTTGCAACAATAATAACAAATATTTGCAGCGGTCATATGTTTTGCTTCATTGAAGATCAACGATTATTGCCCCACGTACTAAACTAGAAAGAATGAAGACTCTTTTTTTAGGAATAAAACACCCACAACCCGATAGAAGTTGTTACGGAGCAGACCCAATCATCGAAAGGCAGTTTCGATTTCATATTTCCGTGGACTCTGCGACTATACAGTAGTGCGGCTACCGAAGCGCTCTGCGTGACGGTGGAAACGTTCCGCGAAACATGCTCGCATGTCATATGTGTGCGTGGGTCCGTTGTTGCCCATGATGATGGCTAGGTCGTCTGGCGGAGTGCGTGTAAGCCGTCGGCTGACCGCGTTGCTGTTCGTGTCGCAGATTCTGTTGGTACGTTTCGCAAATGTGTTCGCGAATGTAGACGAATTTGCTCACGGCGGGCGAATCACCACAGAAAGCTCCCGATATTGGAACGGAGCCCGGCGGTTGACAACGTATGCTGACCTCATGGGCGAGCGCAGCTCCCCAGACCCCGATACAGCGACATCCGCGAGTGAACCAACAGGCGCCACGGTCACTCCCGCTACAGTCACATCCGATACAGGCGCTCCCACGACCGGATCGATCAGTCACAGCATCAACTCCGGTGCGGGTGTAGCTGTCCCCGCTACAGTCACATCAACAGCCAGTGTAGACGATACGAATGCTGACGCTAGCAGCGGCGCCGCTGTCTCCGCAACGAATTCCCCGAATTCCTCAACGCGCACGACCGCTTCTTCTCCCTCTTCGTCCGCTTCTCCTCCGCCTTCGCCTCCTCCCTCGCGCGACGCGCGTCTGCCTGCCGCCATGGACCCCGCGTCACCGTCAGATACCAACGCGGAAAACAACTTTCCCAACTCGAACCCCCTCCCCCGACCCCCACACCTCACTCCGCACACCCGCCCCAGGCGTCACCCCGCACACCCCCCAGTCTCCGCCCCCACTTCCGCGCATGCGCCTGCGGGTTCTCCCCAGGGGGGTCCTCCAGGGGCTGTCTCGGGGGAAGCTTCCTCTGCCCCTGGCGGCGATGGGGGGGAGACGACAGAGCCCCCGCAAGGTGGAAACGGGGGTGAGAGCCCCTCGCCAGATGCTCCATCCAATGCCACTTCAGGTGCCACGTCAGATGCCACGCCAGATGCCTCATCAGATGCCACGTCAGATGCCACGTCAGACGCCTCATCAAATGCCTCTCCCAAGAACCGTCCGCACGCCCCTGCCGCTGATGCCGCCTCCCCCAGCTCGCCCCTGCAGCCCTCCGCCTCTGATGGCCTCCCCCCGGAAGAAGATCTTGGGGTGCAGGTGGGGCAGGGGGAGCACGGGGGGCGCGCGGGGCAGACAGGGCAGGCCGGGGAGAGAGGGGGAGGGCAGCGGGAGGAGGTGCGGTGGTGCTGCGTGGGGCGGGGGGAGTGCGCCTTCTGTGGGGAGGTGGTGCCGGCACTGTCCACTGACACCCAGCTGTGGTCCTGGTGGGTCAAGCAGGGGTGTGCAGGGAGATGGGGATTGGGGGAGAGAGGAACGAAGTAGGCAAGTTCCTTGGCAATGGTTCCTTGGCTATGATTCCTTGGCTATGGTTCCTTGGCTATGGTTCCTTGGCTATGGTTCCTTGGCTGTGGTTCCTTGGCTGTGGTTCCTTGGCTATGGTTCCTTGGCTATGGTTCCTTGGCTGTGGTTCCTTGGCTGTGGTTCCTTGGCTATGGTTCCTTGGCTGTGAATCATTGGCTGTGGTTCCTTGGCTGTGGTTCCTTGGCTGTGGTTCCTTGGCTGTGGTTCCTTGGCTGTGGTTCCTTGGCTATGGTACCTTGGTTGTGGTTCCTTGGCTGTGGTTCCTTGGCTGTGGTTCCTTGGCTGTGGTTCCTTGGCTGTGGTTCCTTGGCTGTGGTTCCTTGGCTATGGTTCCTTGGCTGTGGTTCCTTGGCTGTGGTTCCTTGGCTGTGGTTCCTTGGCTGTGGTTCCTTGGCTATGGTACCTTGGCTATGGTTCCTTGCCTGTGGTTCCTTGGCTGTGGTTCCTTGGCTATGGTTCCTTGGCTATGGTTCCTTGGCTGTGGTTCCTTGGCTGTGGTTCCTTGGCTGTGGTTCCTTGGCTGTGGTTCCTTGGCTGTGGTTCCTTGGCTGTGGTTCCTTGGCTGTGGTTCCTTGGCTGTGGTTCCTTGGCTGTGGTTCCTTGGCTTGGCTGTGGTTCCTTGGCTTGGCTGTGGTTCCTTGGCTTGGCTGTGGTTCCTTGGCTGTGGTTCCTTGGCTGTGGTTCCTTGGCTGTGGTTCCTTGGCTGTGGTTCCTTGGCTGTGGTTCCTTGGCTTTGGTTCCTTGGCTGTGGTTCCTTGGCTGTGGTTCCTTGGCTGTGGTTCCTTGGCTGTGGTTCCTTGGCTGTGGTTCCTTGGCTGTGGTTCCTTGGCTGTGGTTCCTTGGCTGTGGTTCCTTGGCTGTGGTTCCTTGGCTGTGGTTCCTTGGCTGTGGTTCCTTGGCTTGGCTGTGGTTCCTTGGCTTGGCTGTGGTTCCTTGGCTGTGGTTCCTTGGCTGTGGTTCCTTGGCTGTGGTTCCTTGGCTGTGGTTCCTTGGCTGTGGTTCCTTGGCTGTGGTTCCTTGGCTGTGGTTCCTTGGCTGTGGTTCCTTGGCTGTGGTTCCTTGGCTGTGGTTCCTTGGCTGTGGTTCCTTGGCTGTGGTTCCTTGGCTGTGGTTCCTTGGCTGTGGTTCCTTGGCTGTGGTTCCTTGGCTGTGGTACCTTGGCTGTGGTACCTTGGCTGTGGTTCCTTGGCTGTGGTTCCTTGGCTGTGGTTCCTTGGCTGTGGTTCCTTGGCTGTGGTTCCTTGGCTGTGGTTCCTTGGCTGTGGTTCCTTGGCTGTGGTTCCTTGGCTGTGGTTCCTTGGCTGTGGTTCCTTGGCTGTGGTTCCTTGGCTGTGGTTCCTTGGCTGTGGTTCCTTGGCTGTGGTTCCTTGGCTGTGGTTCCTTGGCTGTGGTTCCTTGGCTGTGGTTCCTTGGCTGTGGTTCCTTGGCTGTGGTTCCTTGGCTGTGGTTCCTTGGCTGTGGTTCCTTGGCTGTGGTTCCTTGGCTGTGGTACCTTGGCTGTGGTACCTTGGCTGTGGTACCTTGGCTGTGGTTCCTTGGCTGTGGTTCCTTGGCTGTGGTTCCTTGGCTGTGGTTCCTTGGCTGTGGTTCCTTGGCTGTGGTTCCTTGGCTGTGGTTCCTTGGCTGTGGTTCCTTGGCTGTGGTTCCTTGGCTTGGCTGTGGTTCCTTGGCTTGGCTGTGGTTCCTTGGCTGTGGTTCCTTGGCTGTGGTTCCTTGGCTGTGGTTCCTTGGCTGTGGTTCCTTGGCTGTGGTTCCTTGGCTGTGGTTCCTTGGCTGTGGTTCCTTGGCTGTGGTTCCTTGGCTGTGGTTCCTTGGCTGTGGTTCCTTGGCTGTGGTTCCTTGGCTGTAGTTCCTTGGCTGTGGTTCCTTGGCTATGGTTCTGAGGCGTCTCAAAACGCAGAAAGCAAGAGCTTTGCCATGCCATGGGGCCATGCCATGCCATGGGGCCATGGGCTCTGCAGGCACCAAGCGGTGTGGGCAGTGGGGCAGTGGTCAATCATGGATGATTACCCATACGCCTCATACCCAACCATTTATCAACGATGACTGACCGTCATCCCCTCATCCCCTCATCCCTCATGTTTTCAACCCCTCGTCACCTCATCCCTGTTAGAATATGGCATATGTTACACTCAATGCGGGTGTACAATTTGGCCCACGTCGGCCCAACCTATTCTGGTTGGCCGCTTCCCAAACCTTCTAAACCGCATTTGACGGGGGCGGGGGTGGCCAAAGATCGGTTGGACCATCCAACCAATCATTTCTTCCCCCCCTCCCCACTAACATTGGTCGACCCCACCAGTCATTGGGTAGCAAACTTAATTGGCCCACCAATGATGGTGTGGTGGGCACTCGTCCAATCCACCCACCGTTGTCTCTCCTATGTAAGCCCATCTCTCCTTCGTAAGCCCATCTCTCCTCTATCATATTCATCACTTGAGTTTCTTCCAATCCCCTCATCCATTCATCTCCTCACCCACCCATCCTTTCATCCCCTCATCCCCCCATCCTTTCATCCCCTCACCCCCTCATCCCCTGATGCCGTCATGCCCTCATGCCCTCATCCCCTCATGCCTTCAATCCCTTGTGTCCTTGTTCCTGTGTTCTCTCCCCTGAATTGTGCACAGTGTCACTGCGGCACAGCAACCAGCAGTGCACGACCATGCCAAGTCCATGCCAAGGTGGTCAGTCACACAACTCGAGCACTGGACCACCGCCTCATTATGATTGTCCACGACCACCATGCGCTGCTCGCATGATCTCATGCCCCTATGCCCTCATCCCTCTCCACCCCACCCCAGTGTGCAGCGGCGCAGCAAGCAGGAGTGCATGGGAGCCATAGCGGCCTCGCAAGCCGAGCTTGTTTCCCTTGATGCGGGGCTGGCGTTCCGTGCCTTCCTGCACGGCCGCATGAAGGCCCTCATGAGTGAGCGCCTGGCATGGGGCGAGACCTACCCCGCTGTTGCTGTCGTGCGCAGAGATGTGTGTGATGCTAGCGATGCTGGGAGGGGCGAGGCAGGGAGTGAGGGGCTAGGGGGGAGTAAGGGTGTTGGGATGGGGGGAGTGGGAGGAGATAGAGATGGGAGAGAGGGTGCGGTGGGTGAGGGAGGGAGCTCGGGTCTCAACAGCAGCAGCATTGGTAGCAGTGGCGGTAGCAGTGGTGGTGCCGGCAGCTCATCGCTCGGAAACAAAACTGACACACAGTCAGTCCAAGGCACATCACGCGGCAACCCCACCCCCAGTTCTCCTCCCCTCGCCACCACGGCGCCCCTGCCGTCCAGCATCCCGGCCGGCCCCTGGCAGCAGCTGCACCGCTTCAAGACGTGCCACCCGCTCTACGGCTCCGCGGCTGGCTGGGACCTCCCCGTGCGCTCCCTGCTCGCCCTTGACCTCGAGTCCCAGCTTGGGGGTGCTGCAGGTGCTGGGGGCGCTGGGGGCGCGCAGGGCGCGAGGGGTGGTGGGGGTGGAGGGGGTAAGGGGAGCAGCGGGGGCAGCAGCGGGGGAAGTGGGGGTTTTGGAGGCAAAGGGGAGGTGGGAAGGGTGGGTGCGGGGAGAGGAGGAGGAGGAGTGGGTGGGGGCGCGGGTGTGATGGGCAGGGGAGGGGGCGGAGGAGGAGTGGGGCTAGGAGGCGGGTTTGCAGCGCCACCGTTTGTGGAGGGCGAGCCAGCGGATGTGACTCTAGTGAAGGCCGTCTTCCCCGAGTCCTGCGCCCCTGGGGGCGACGGCACCCTCGGCCCCACCTCTCCTGCTGCCACCGGGGGAGGAGAGGGGGGCGGGGGGGAAGGAGGAGGAGGCGGGGAAGGGGGGAACGCGGGGCGGGGGGACACGGGGCGGGTGTGCAGCGGGTGTGTGTCGGTGAACGGGCGGGGCACATGTGACGAGGAGGACACGTATGCGGGCTTCCACGGCGCCTTCCGGTGTCTCATGGAGCACGCGGGCGACGTGGCCTTCCTGAGACTGGACACGCCTCTCTGGTTCGCCCGCGGGGGCCGGTTTCAGCAGGCGTGGTCGCTGCAAGACTTGGGGGAGTTCCGCGTGCTGTGCCCTCCCCTCGTTGGCGGATGCTTGGAGGTTACAGAGAATGTGGACGCCAACTGCACGTGAGTATTGAGACGTCTCAAAACCTTCCACCCGTGTATGGACTGCAGTCTGCATTGGAGTCGGGCATGGCTCCTCTGGGGTATGGGCAGCGCCTTCCTCAGTGCCATTGGACTCGGTGTGTCATGGAGCAGGCAGGCGATGTGGCCTTGATTCCCCTCTCTGGTTCGCATGCGGGAGATGGTTTCAGCAGGCGAGGTCGCTGCAAGGGGTGGGGGAGTTCCGCGTGCTGTGCCCGCCCATGCTGGGCGGCTGTGGGGAGGTCACGGAGAATGTGCACGCCGACTGCACTGCACGTGAGTGGGGCATGCGGTAGCTGCCACTGTGAAGCTCCTCCTGGTTGAGGGGCAGTAACAGCGGTTGAGGGGCAGTAGCAGCAGTTGAGTTCGGATGCATGTGCTAGTCCCTGGTGGGGGCAACAGAGTGGCAATTGCGGGTGGTGAATGCAGAGGTGACATGTCTCCCTGCCACTACAGTAGTGACAACCAGTAACTCAAAGGTCATGGCTCCTGTACCACCAGTGTGACCTCTGAGTAACTCAAAGGTCATGTCATACAATGCAAGGCTCCTGTGCTGCCGGTGGCAAGCCGTTACCACATGTGCCTGCACATCACTCTCTCATACCAGCTCTGTTCCTGCTTCTCGTCAACCCCCCCTCCCTGTTGCCCCCCCTCTGCTGCGTGAGTCTGCCAGCTTCGGCAGTGTGCCAGCCAACGTGGTGATGACGTGCAACAGCATATCGGAGCGCTTCAAGCGTGCCATAGTGGTTCGTGTGCTCTCATCTCACTCTCTCATGCCACCTTGCTGCAATGCCGCTCCTGCTCTTTCCCCCCCCCCTCTGCTCGTTGTCCCCATTTCCCCATTTCCTCCACCCGCCAGCTTCGGCAGCGTGCCAGCGAATGTGGTGATGACGCGCAACAGCATATCGGAGCGCTTCAAGTGCGCCATTGTGGCTCGCCTGGAGCTGGCAGGCACAGTCAAGGCATGGCGCGAGGCACTATACGAGGGGCGCAACCCCTTTGACTACATCCTCTCTGGCAGGTAGCACACCTCTCCTCTCTCTCTCTCTCCTCTCCCTGGTGACTCCCTCTCAACTCTCGGGGGGGTACCTCTCTCCACCATGTGCTCTATGAGGGGCGCAACCCCTTCAACTGAATCCTCTCCGGCAGGTACGTGCCGTACCACTTTCCCTGTCTGCTTCTGAGACGTCTCAAAAGGGCAACAACCCGTGGGGCTAAGTACTCTCTCTGGCAGGGGGCTTGCCATTGCCTGTGTCCTTCAGTGCACTGCACTCAGGTGACGTTTGACTCCTGAGTCAACTCACAACTGCTCTGCTCTCCGTCGTTCTTCATGAGTGCTTGTGCTTCCGAAGCATGCTCGATTGGAAGGGCGGGGCACCAAGGTTTGTGTCTGTGTTCTGTGTGACTGCTGCCTTTGTTCAGGCTTCCCTCGCTTGCCAGGCACCTTCCTTCCCTGCGTATTCTGCATGGCCGTGTTGGCCTGCGCAACGCCTGTGTGCTGCTGATATGCTCTGCTGTTTTCATCCGCGTACGTGCCGTGTTCTCTCTGTCTCCTTCACTGATGAGCATGCCGCTCTCCGCGTGCTTGCCCCCTTCCTCCTCACCCTCCTGTCGCGTGCAGCGCCATTGTTTGAGGCACCCAAAAGATCACAACCGCGACCACGCTCCCCTTCCTTCCCTCCCCAGTGCCATGTGTGGCCTAATGCATGTGCCCCACCTCATCCCCACTGCTGCCTGTTGCTCCCAGTGCCAAAGGGCTAGTGCGAGTGGACTCATTGACGCGCGCCTATCTGGGCAGCATGGGCGAGGTCACAGAGGACATTCTGCGCTACAACCGTGACCACGCCCCTCCTCCCCACCCCAGGGCCACTCACAGACTATGTGTTTCTGGTAGGCATGCTTGCTCGGCCCATGAGATGCCTCATTAGTTGTATGTATCCCCACCTGCTGTAACCCCACTGGCTTCAGCACATCGAAGCTTCGTGTCACTGATGCTGCCTCCTTTTCTGGTTTTTGTGATTGCCTCATTTTCGCTCTCCGCTTTGCCTGCTTGCAGGTTGGTTTAAATCACTACTGACAATGCTGCTTGCTGCACTGCTTTCTCTCTAGATGGTATGAGGACACAAGTGGCTGCTGTATGTCATGTTTCAACCAATCAAGTCCCAACGTATGTTTTATGAAAAAGGGCTGATTCTGCATCCAGAAGAAAACAGCAGGAGCTGGGATGAGATCAGGAAACCAGCAACTTGTGTGATCATTCCACAAACGTTCTTTCACACCTCATACGGTCATGAACGCCCGTGCTCGACCTCGTGCGAGGACAGCAGCAGCTTATGTCCATTTGTCCCTCACTCGAGCCTGGTAACACCATAAGGCATGAGGCTGATGTGCCTGTGCTGTGCCCATTCCCCTTGCCCCATGTCCACCATCACCATGCCATGCCATGCCATATCAGTGTCACGCTGCCAACATGTTCTGAGCCGTCCTGAATCCTGGCGTGCATTTAATTGTCTGCCCTCGCTTCTTAACAACCCCGCCCTATCTCTGCCCTTGCACAAACCTACCTCCCTTCCCTCCCACACACACATCACGTCCCTCCTGGCCCAGGGTATAATTTGCAAGAAAATGCAGCATTTGCTCCAAGCAATGCTGTTTCAAGATGATTAAGAACATGCTTCTTACACTCTGGCAATGATTAAGCATTCCTTTCAATGACTTGCATATTCGAAGGCCAAAAGCCTCAAGAAAGCTCAACTACTACATTCCGTGTCCCTGCGCACTGACAGACAGCTTCCCAGAGAAGGCATGGGAAGGTGTCCATTCACCTCATTGCACGCAACACCGCACCAAACCGCATGAAGAGTGTTGACTAGAACATTCTGCCTCCACGCGCGCTCACGGCCTCGCAAAGTCGGCAGGGGAAGGAGTCGAAGTTGAGTGCTGTGACATGGGCGAATGGACCCGGCACCCCACACATGCGCCACGCGAAGTAGTTCATGTACCTCACTGCACCCACACCGCACCACACAGCACCGCACAGCACATAAAGGCAGGCACACATGAAGGCACGATATGCATAAGTTGGAGCACAGGGAGCACAAGAGCAGGCAGAAGACAGGAGAAGCAATGCAGTGAAAATGCATGGATAGGAGGGATGCAGCGCAGTGATGAGCGTGGTGAGCTGCGCAGCTGTAAACCATGGTTCGCCTGACATCCATCAATGAACAACTCGGGCGGCATGAAGTGGGGGATGACAGGCGCACCATGGTACATGGGCACCATGGTACATGGGCACCATGGTACATGGGCACCGTGGTACATGGGCACCGTGGTACATGGGCACCGTGGTACATGGGCACCGTGGTACATGGGCACCGTGGTACATGGGCACCGTGGTACATGGGCACCGTGATACATGGGCACCGTGGTACATGGGCACCGTGGTACATGGGCACCGTGGTACATGGGCACCGTGGTACATGGGCACCGTGGTACATGGGCACCGTGGTACATGGGCACCGTGGTACATGGGCACCGTGGTACATGGGCACCGTGGTACATGGGCACCGTGGTACATGGGCACCGTGGTACATGGGCACCGTGGTACATGGGCACCGTGGTACATGGGCACCGTGGTACATGGGCACCGTGGTACATGGGCACGGTGGTACATGGGCACGGTGGTACATGGGCACGGTGGTACATGGGCACGGTGGTACATGGGCACCGTGGTACATGGGCACCGTGGTACATGGGCACCGGTACATGGGCACCGTGGTACATGGGCACCGTGGTACATGGGCACCGTGGTACATGGGCACCGTGGTACATGGGCACCGTGGTACATGGGCACCGTGGTACATGGGCACCGTGGTACATGGGCACCGTGGTACATGGGCACCGTGGTACATGGGCACCGTGGTACATGGGCACCGTGGTACATGGGCACCGTGGTACATGGGCACCGTGGTACATGGGCACCGTGGTACATGGGCACCGTGGTACATGGGCACCGTGGTACATGGGCACCGTGGTACATGGGCACCGTGGTACATGGGCACCGTGGTACATGGGCACCGTGGTACATGGGCACCATGGTACATGGGCACCGTGGTACATGGGCACCATGGTACATGGGCACCATGGTACATGGGCACCATGGTACATGGGCACCATGGTACATGGGCACCATGGTACATGGGCACCGTGCCCGTCTCCAGGGGCTCCACAGGGGGGGCGATTTATAAGTGCCAGTCAGCCTAACCAGAATTCTGCGTACCTGGGTTATTATTCAGAGCAGTAATCAGCATGGCGAGCTGTGCCGCCGTGTACTTGGGACCGTCAATAAAGGATTCAGGCGGCATGAACTGGTGGATGTCTGGCGCCCCATAGTACACAGGCACCGTGCCTGCCTCCAGGGGCTCCAGTCCCTTCTCAGGGTCTCCAGAAAGTTGACTTACGAGTGCCTGTCAGAATAAGCAAAACTCTGCGCACCTGGGCCACTATTGAGAACAGTGATGAGTGTGGCGAGCTGCGCAGCGGTATACTTTGAGACATCGATGTACGACTCAGGCGGCATGAAGCTGTGGATGTCGGGTGCCCCATAGTACACGGGCACCGTGCCTGCTTCGAGTGGCTCCAGTGCTTTCAGAGTGGGTTTTGACATACCTGGATCATTATTCAGAGCCGTGATGAGCGTGGCAAGCTGCGTGGCCGTGTACTTGCTGCCATCGATGAAGGATTCCGGAGGCATGAACTGGTGGATGTCAGGTGCCCCATAGTACACGGGCACTGTGCCTGCCTCCAGGGGCTCCAGGGCCTTCTCAGTGACGTAGCCGGGCACGCGCGTGTTCTCGATGCTGAGGATGAACTTGTAGTGCGACATGGCACATGCTGATATCTCCTGCTTCTGTATGCTTATCACCCTGGGGGGGGTTGGGACAGGGGGAGGTGCAGGCATACACATTGGGGCGGAAAGGGCCTTCTCAGTGACATAGCCCGGCACGCGAGTGTTCTCGGTGCTGAGGATGAATTTGTAGTGCGACGTGGCGCATGCTGATATCTCCTGCTTCAGTACGCTTATCACCCTGGCAGGTGGGAAGAAGGAGGACGGGAAGGGGATGAGTGCACATAGGGGAGGAGAAGGGGGAAGGGGAGGGGGCGTGGGGGTGACATGGCGCACACTGTGATTTCCTTCTTCTGAATGCTTCTCATCCTGGGAAGGTGGTGGAGGGTATGGGGGGTGTATGCACATGGGGGCAGGGAGGGGGAGGAGTGGGGGTGAACTCGTAGTGTGACACAGCACACGCTGCGATTTCCTTGTTCCGATGCTTCTCATCCCGTCATGAGCATGCACGAAGCTTGCACTGCATGTGACGTGGCATGGCACGCTTATCTGCTTCTGATCCAAGTGCAGATCACTCTGGCCCGGACACACATACTTATGAAAAGCAATTTCTGTCAAACGTCCTTGCACACTGGTGACGTTGTGCCTTACGGTACTCGCACCAGTGCAGGTCGTAAGTTGCTAGCATCCCTCCCTCCCTAGCCGCCCCACCCCCTCTCACCAATGGGTATAGGAATCCTCTCTTCACCCCCGCATCCCCCCCATGGCACTCACGGGTGGGTGCATTCAGGGTAGAGAAGCAGTTCAGCATCACTGCCGTTCATGTTGTTGTCGCAGTGCCCGAAGCTGTGGTGCGGTACCAAGGCGAACACGTCCCGAACCAGGCCCTCCCGCCACTCGTACTGGCAGTGCGACGATGCTCGGTATAGAGGGACATCCTAGGCGCAGGGGGGAACAGAGAGAGGAGAGAGGCAAGGCGCTGCGTGCGAGGGAGATGGACACACAGGGCAGGCAGAGGGCAGAGAGTGACACACATCCCTCACCAGCCTCCCTCGCCACTCATACTGGCAGTTGATGATGCATGCACAGTATAGAGGCACGTCCTGGGGATGGGGAGAAGGGGAGGGGGAAAGAGAAGAGGGGAAGGGAAGGAGGCGGTAAGGGGAAGGGGGCGAGAAGGGAAAGGGCGTGCTGTGTGTGATTTAGTCACGGATGGCAGGGAGAGGAGGCAGAAGGCAGAGAGTGACACAAGTCCCTCACGCTACTAGTACTGGCAGTGCGATGATGCATGCACGGTAAAGAGAGGCACGTCCTGGGAGGAGGGGCAGGGAGAGAACGGAAAGGAAAAGGGGAAGGGGCAGGAGAGATTGTGTAAGGAGACACACCCAGCTATCCCCAGCCCACCCGCCCGTCTATCCCGCCGCTTGATCTTGGAGAAGAATCAGGGAAAGCGTCCACGTGATCTCCAGCGTGTGGTGCACACCCCAGCAGGTGAGCTGCACGTCGCTGCCTGGCACGTCCAGGCACGCTGACAGCTCCCATGCACACCTGCCGCTTGATCTTAGAGAAGAATTGCCTCCGGCCGGTCTCGAGCGTGTGGTGCACGCCGGAGTAGGTCAGCTGCACGTCGCTGCTGGCGAAGGGAGACACACCCACGTCGAACAGCCGGCGCTTCTCCTGCAGCCCCCACGACTCCAGGTTCAGGTACACTCGCAGCGGCTGCCCTCGCGTGCGCTCTGCAGGTGGGTCTGCGGGCCACACGTGAAGAGTGGCATCTGCCTGTAGGGCCATGAGGGGCGACCAGGAGATCTGCAGAGCCAGGGACAGGGGTGGGGGAGAGAGGGGAGAGGGTGGAGGGAGTTGGCGGGGGGAATGGGGGAGAGAGGGATTTTAGGTACGGACGCACTAGCGGTGGCAAAGCAACAGATACCTGGCACGTGACAGAACAGTCACCCGGCAGGTGAAAGCAACACATAACTGGCAGGTGAAAGCAGCAGACACCTGGCAGGTGATGCCGCAGCGCGGGCAGTGGTAGAAGCCCTCCAGCTTGTGCGGCCACATCCACGACTCAGCGCCAGGTGGCAGCAGGATGGTGACGTGGCGCAGCTGCATTCGCCCGCACGCCACCCTGCTTGGGTCCTGTGCGTGCCGGGGCAGGGGGAGTAGTGGCGGGACAGGGGAGGGGTGGTAAGGGGGGAAGGGGGGAGGGAGGGACAGCGGAGGGGTGGTGGGGAAAGAGGGGTGGCAGGATGGGAGCACGCTGTGAGGCTCAGGTGGTGTTGTTGCAACACGGAGAGTCTCAGGAAGCACACCGGGTGGGGGTTGATGCAATGCGATGTGATGTGCATTGAAGAGAGGGGGTCTGAGCATCTGCAATGTGGTGTAGTGTGGTGTGGTGGTGTGCTTCTTTCCGATTGGAATAGTGAGGCACACTGCCCTGCCTCGCCTCTCAACAGTGCCGGATCCTCAAGGCCAAGAGGGCCCGCTGCTGCACCAGTAATGAATGGTTGTATGTACCTGAGTTGGACAACAAAAAGGGGCGAGCGTTTGTGTGGACACGCACAAACAATCCTCAAATTTCCTGGGCATAAAAAATGAAGGAAACGCTTGTCCCAACTTCCCAACCCAGCCTTGTATGTTCTCCCGCTACTACCACTAACCTGATCAGAGCGCAAGCCTTCTCACGCCACCCTGGCCTCATTTGCCGCCCAACTACTCCCTCGCTATAATATGTCCAACTCTTCAGTGGCGTTCATCAACCTGCCCGGCCCTGGTCGGGCCCAGAATCATTCTCGCCCACCCCACAGGGTGGCACCTGAAGACTGGAGCTTCTGGGGAAGGCGGAGGAGTAGGAATATTTTTTGAGGAGATCCCTGTGCTGAGTTAATTCACGATTCAGAATAGGGCCTACTCAGGGGGGGCCACACCTGAAGACTGGAGCTTCTGGGGAAGGCGGAGGAGTAAGAGTATTTCTTGAGCAGATCCCTGTGCTTCCACCTGAAACGCGCACACCCCACCTTCGCCTCCCACATCCTGACAGCATATGAAGAGATGAGGGGGGGAAAAGGAAGGGAGAATGCATACAGTGGATGGGGAAATAGATGGCAGAGTGGAAAGCGAGAGGAGAGAGTGAGGAGAGAGAGGCTGGAATAAGAATCTGAAGTGGAGGAGGCACGGGCCCACACAGTCATGACCACAGCTCACCTCACGCACGAACCCACCAACTCAACACACTCAGACACGGGTCTGAGTAGGTGTGGCCGTGCCGTAACTCACTCACTTGGCACCAGCCTCCACATTGAATCCAGCGTTGGAGAAAACGGGAGCAGAGCCACCATCGCCCAGCACGGGGAAAGAAGGGGAGGGAAGGAGTGCGTAGTCCCACAGGACCACAGCCACACCTACTACCACAGACTCTCACCCAACCACTCACTCACTCACTCACACACCCACTCACTCACTCACCTACCCAGTCACTCACTCACTCACCTACCCAGTCACTCACTCACTCACTCACTCACTCACGCACCCACTCACTCACTCACCTACCCAGTCACTCACTCACTCACTCACCCCAACCACGCACTCACTTGGCAGCAGCCTCCACATTAAAGCCATCGTCAGAGAAGACCGGAGCAGAGCCACCATCGCCCAGCACGGGGATGCGGCGGGGGAAGGGCGAGGCGGAGTAGTAGTGGGGGTCGTGGAGGGTGGAGAGCAGCGAGGGCAATGTGCATGCCGCCCACGCCAGTAGTAGTAGCACGGACAGCCATATTAACCGCCCGGCAATGGTGCTCATGGGAGGGATCTGGGGGGAAGGGGGGGAGAGAACCGGGGAAGGGCGAGGCGGAGTAGTAGTGGGGGTCGTGGAGGGTGGAGAGCAGCGAGAGCAGTGTGCATGCCGCCCACGCCAGCAGCAGCAGTATTGCCAGCCATATCAGCCGCCCGAAAATGGTGCTCATGGGGGGAATCTGAAGAGGGGGTGGTTTGGAGATAGGGGGATGGTGAGGCGGGTGGGTGGTGGCGAGAGTGCAGGAGAGGGTGAGGGTGGGGAAAGGGAGGTGGCTTTAGTGCAGGTCCGTGCGGGTGCATGCGGCAGGGGAGGAGGCGAGAGGCAGAGTGGTGGGCAGGGGCGTGCAGTGTGGGGAGCAGGATAGGCAGCGCGCACACTTATTAGGAGGATCTGGGAGGAAAGTGGAGAGTGCAGAGGGCGGAAGGGGGAGGGAGAGTGGTGGGGAGAGAGTGGGGGAAAGTGGGGAGGGGAATGCGGAGGGGGATGCGAAGGGCATCTCATAACCACAGGAGGCGGATGGGGATGGTGGTATACACAGTACACTTCGGGGGATGCGAGGAAGGGGGGATGAGCTGGAGGAGGGGGATGTTTGGGAGTGGGGATGTGAGGGAGGGGAAAGTTGGGGGAGGGGGATGTGGTCTAGAGGGGAAGAGGAAGGCAGTCCAAGGGGGGCAGGGAGGAGAGGAGACGCCAGTGAGGTTAAGAATTTGGGTTCTGGAACGGACGGATTATGATGATCACAAGATTTAAGTCTTGCAATTTGTGATTGTGAGCGTTGTGAGTTATAGGCGCTGTACTGTACCTTATCGAGCACCTCTTGCGCCTTATCCACAGCAGGCCTCAGCACAGGCCGAACCGCATTCGCTATAATCACATACACGCTGAACCGCTGCAGGTATCGGTGCACCCCTCCCGCCGCTGACGTCAGCGCGTGCGTCAGCAGCGGCGGCACCGTAGTCAGCAGCCTATCGGCGACATCCACTGCGGCGGCCGCGATTCGCGGGCCGTGATCTGCGGCGGCTCGAGGCCATTCCGCAAGTGGCGGAGGAGGCCAGAGAGGGGTGGCGGAAAGCGCGGAGAGCGAGCGGAGGGAGGAGAGGCCGAGGGGGATGGATTCGGGGCTCATGGGGGGAAGGAAGGCGGAGGGGGAAGGGACATCCGCGGAGGCGGGCTCGAGTGCGATCTCTGATGGGCGCATCAACGGCGTGGCCGCGTGGTGAGATCGAATGAACGGCTGTAATTCGCTGCCGTCTCTTCCCGCTTCCCCTCCCCCTCCCCTCCCCGATCCCCCTCTCATCGCATGTTCCCCCCTTCCGCCGTTGCCGTTCTGATAGCTTCCGCTTCTGCTGTTGTGAGGTGATTCGTCATTGGGATCGCCGCGGTCAACGCTACTAACGGGGATGGTGGCAGGCGACGCGAGGCTCGTGCCGTTGTATCCCGACCGCTGCGCCGCAATGCCGTCGTTATAGTGGCAGCCGCCGGCTGAGCTGCTGCTGTTACCGCGAGATTCGCTTCGATTAGGATTGCTCGAATTTGACTGGCGCTGGGCCCGCGACTGCGTTTGAGAGTGCGAAAGTGACCGAGAGGACGAGGACGACGAGGAGGAGGTGCGATGCGATGACGCCTTGTCGCGAGGCATCTCGGCAACCTGCTGTAAGCAGCGTCACATTAGCGAAGTCGATTTCCGGCCAAAACAATCTCAAATTTTTTATTGTTTGTAATTAACAGGACTCCCAGACAAGTCGATGTAGTATAATGGTCAGTATCTCCGCCTGTCACGCGGAAGAACCGGTTTCGATCCCCGGCATCGGCGTTTTGGCAGGCAATTGTGTACTTTCTTCTGTACAATCACAAACTCCCTGCTAGGATTGTCAGTTGACTGTGCCACATCAGTCTCCTGCATACGTAATCGTTTCTGTTTATCCATCTTTGCGCCATGGTTTCCTGTGCTTGTGCACCAGATGTGCTCTTCTTGAAATAAAGCCAAGCCACCCATTTCTACCCGTGTCTGTGAGCATAGGCCAAGTTTACCCCCCCTCCCTCCACCACAACAGGGTTGCAATTATCAGAGGGCCGGTCATAAACTGTGGATGTTCACATCCACAATGTACTCCCACCACAACAATGAAGATTTCCACCAGGAGATGGGGAACATGCTGTGCTGCCATTGAGCACGGTTGAGTGTGAGCGTGGATTCACCGAGAATCTGATCAAGACCTCAGGAGTCGGGGGACGCGGCAGCATCGGCGACAGCAGCCTGGAATACCTAATGTGCTGTTCCCTAACAAAACTGCAAAACTGCACAGTAAACAACCTAACTGCAAAGTTACACTGACATAATCAATGTACGGTACCGGTACTCTGTTTCCATCAGAGTATGGAAAATTTTACATAAGGGCCAGGGGGTACAGCACAGCAGGTACGAAACCCTGATCTGTACTCTGCTACTGGGGAAGAGGGCCAATATACGGTACATGGGAGAGTCGAGTCAATCTACATGGGAGGGCCAAACCCAAAGTCGGCTGATAGAACTCGCGGCATGAAGAACCCCATCCGCCTCTTCTCCTCCTCCTCCCTCGCCTCCTCCTCCCTCCTCTCCTCCTCCTCCTGCCTCTCAACTGTCCTCTCCATCTCCCTCTCTCGCACTGCATCCAACCCCTCTTGCCCCTCACCTCCGCCCATCCTCCCCTCATGCTCCTCCTCTTCGTCCACTCCCTCTTCCTCCTCCCTCCACCCGTCTTCTCCCTCTTCCCTCCCCTTTTCCTCCTCTTCCAGCTCACCACCACCACTCCCCAAATGCCTGTGTCTCCCTCGAGCGTGTGTGAGAGAGTGAGGGAGAGGAGGCAGGGGGGGAAGAGCTGTCCCATCCACTCCAAGGGAGTGCTGCACTTGCACCAGCCTCTCTCTCGCTACAAACATCTCCTGCTGTAGGTACCGGTGGCGGGTCGTTGCTTCCTGTAATCATGTAGACAAAGCGAAAATGGCAAAATGGAGAGAGATAGATGTTGCGAGAATGAGGGCTCCGGCCTGAGCATTAGGGCAACGCCGGCAGGTGACAGTAACGACAGTGATCACAGCAGAGATTGAATCACCATGAACTCAAACTTCAACCGGTGGCGCGGAGCGTCTGCATAGCTGCTGGCGAAAAGTGGGTGGGAGAAGAGTGAGGAGCGTGAATGCAAGACAGATGAGGTGTGAGGTGAAAAGGGGTTCGCAAGAGGGGGTTGGTGATGATGCACCTATGGTGCAGCCAGCTGTCAGGGAGGAAGAACGCTATATTTCTTATTTGCACATTTTGACCTCACTCTCGGTCCTCCCCTCACCCTGTTTTTCTTTTTCCATTCCCTAACCCTCCATGACCTCCCCCAACTCCCCGTTCTCATTTAGCAAGCAATCCCAATCTCTCCTGTGAAGCCTTGCTGCACGCCCTCTTCCTTTTGTCACATGTCTTAAGCTCATTTCTCTCGCCTTCCCATCTTCCACGCCCCTCTCCATTGCAGCCTCCCCCAGCAGTTCTTGCCTCCTCCAAATCTAACCCCCCAGCTCTCAACTCCCCCGGCTCTCAACTCCCCCAGATCTCAACTCCCCCGGCTCTCAACTCCCCCGGCTCTCAACTCCCCCGGCTCTCAACTCCCCCAGCTCTCAACTCCCCCAGATCTCAACTCCCCCAGATCTCAACTCCCCCGGCTCTCAACTCCCCCGGCTCTCAACTCCCCCGGCTCTCAACTCCCCCAGCTCTCAACTCCCCCAGCTCTCAACTCCCCCGGCTCTCAACTCCCCCAGATCTCAACTCCCCCAGCTCTCAACTCCCCCGGCTCTCAACTCCCCCAGCTCTCAACTCCCCCAGCTCTTTCACCTACCCCAGCTCTCACCCCCCCCACTCTCACCTGCACCTCTCTTCTGTGCGCCTCCTCCTTCCTCGCCTCTGCCCGCCCCTGCTTGGCCACCTCCGCCACTATGATGCTGCCGCCCATCTGGGGGGTGGGGATGATGGGGAACGAAGAAGCCCAAATGTCAAGGACGAATGCCAGGATTCGGGGACCAGGGGCTGGTATGCCCCTGCTTGGCTACCTCCGCCACGATGCTGCTGCCGCCCATCTGATGGGAGGGGGTGAGAGCAAATCAAGAGGCCCGAATGTCAAGGACGAAAGCTCGGGTTGTGGGAGGAGGGGCTCGCATGGCCCTGCTTGGCCACCTCTGCCATGATGGTGCTGCTGCCCATCTGGAGAGAGGGGAAGAGAGGGAAACCCTATGCAGGAATGACAGGGAGAACACAGGAAACGGGGTTGCAGCCATGCCTGCATGCCCCTGCCTGCCCACCTCTGCCACAATGATGCTGCCACCCATCTGGTGGGAGGGGAAAAGAGAGGAGAAGCAAGAGCCCGGACGTCAGGGAAAGATGCTGGGATTCTGAAATGCTGAGAGAGAGGTTAGAGACATGCTCGCATTCGTGTGCGGATGGGCTTCGAGGTGCGGGCACCATGCCTCCCTCAGCCCACCTGTGCCCACACCCCACTCCTCTCCTCCCACCACCTCACCTACGCCGACCGGAATTTCCCCTCCCATGATCTCATCACCTCACCCCAAAGACGAAGAGCTCCCCCAGCAGGTGCGCAGCCAGGTTAACAGGTGGGCCTCGCTGAGCGGAGGGACGGGGTTCATGGTGCCCTCAATCACCCCATCTGTGATCACACCCACTCCTCTCTCCTCCCACCACCTCACCCCTCACCCCTCACCCCTCACCACCTCAACACCTCACCACCTCACCCCAAAGACGAAGAGCTCCCCAAGCAGGTGCGCTGCCAGGTCAATGGCTCTCTCCTCGTTCAGCGGGCGGATGGGCAGGTGGCGGTGCTGCCTGGGATGCTGCCTCGTGTCCAGCCGCCTGTGCAGACGCACGTTCATGCGATGGAAGGCCTGGTGGGGTGCGCGCGGGATGAAGAAGGAAGGACAATGAATGAAATGGATTAGCAGTGGTTTTACGGGGTAGTAGGACAAATATGTGCGCTTGCAGGCGCACGTTCATGCGATGGAAGTCCTGGTGGGGTGGGGGAGTAGGGAGGCAGGCAAGCAGGGGAGTAACATGAGTTGACGGTGGTGACACAGGGCAAGGAGTACAGAGATGGATGTCTAGCCGCCTGTGCACAAGCGTGTTCATGCGGTGACAGGCCTGGTGCGGTGACAACAGGGCGACTCCCTCTTGCAACCCATATACACCTGGGTGCAAGCTTGAGAGAGCGTGTGAGAGCAACCCTGAAAGCACACCTGAGAGCACACCTGAGACCGCACCTGAGAGCACACCTGAGGGCACACCTGAGAGCGCACCTGAGCAAGGAGAATGACTTTCTCTCGGAAGCCCGTGTCATGCGCCGCAGCGGCGGCGACGGTGAGCTTGATGGGCGCGCCGATCGTCTCCACCAGCGCCGCTAGCAGCCGCAGATGCACCGGCAGCATCGCGCGCGCAAGCCGCCTCAACGCGCGCGCCCCTGCTCCGCGCCACCTCGCCGATACGCGCGCAGCGCGCACGACGGGTACGTCGCGCGCGGCTGGAACAGCTGCGAGTACGGACCGTTTATGAGGCCGCGGATCGCGATGCGGCGAGCATGGCTGACCCCTGCGTACCGTCAGGCGGTTCGTGTGTTATGCACGGGACGCATCGTGCGGGTTGTCGGAGACGGGCAGGGAACGGATCAAGAGGCGCGCGGACGGGATAATGGAGGGGCCGTGGAGTGACCTACAGCGAATCGTCGAAACAAGGGGGTGTCGGCCGTCGACCTTGCTTTAATATAGATCTCCGGAGCACGGCGGACAGTGCGGCCTCAGACGTTCGCGCTGGGGAAATAGGCATCAGCATTCGCGAGAACAGCTGCCGCTCGCTACCGCTCGCCACCCGTCGCGCGTGTTTCTAACAGCCAGCAGCCATCGTGGCCGTCGTTACTCACCGTTATCGCGTTTGACTCTGAAACCCAATGCCACCGTTCCACCCGCTACCTCCGTCGCTCGCTAACAGACGCTGCCCGTCACCGCCACGCCGTGGGTGATGGTAGTGTGGGAATGGAAGGTACGGAAACGAGCTACAATGCGGAAGAAGGGGAACGAGAGTCAAAGCCCCGCAGGTACGAGGTTAAAAATAGCGCTCTTTCTCAAGCGCACGCTACCGGAGTGATTGTTGGCGTCTGCGAATAAATCTAGGCCAGGTTGGACTGGTAGGTGGCTATGAATCGCCGTAAGCGTTAGGGCGTGTTACTTGGCGTAGCAAAATGTTTTTCCGTACGACACCGGATCGCTGATGGAACATTTTTCCATCGCATATAGTCCGGGCGCATACCGTTCGATAAACGTAGGGAGTATCGTCTTTTTAATTGAGAAATAATACGATTCTGCTACATGGCCATGTAGCAGGGGTTATGTGAAAAAATAATATTTATATATTTAAAAAAATCTTATCTGGTCCGATATTCCGTGATCCAACACATACCATAGAAGTATTCAACGTCCATAATGCAAAACCAGGCTACAGGTCTGCTAAACTACACCACTTTGCCTGTCACCCAGCATTGTTGTAACATGCAAGTCGCAGCGCAAAATGGCCTGACTACTCCAGCATGCAAAAGTTCCTCCGCTGACACCGCGTGGCAACAATAACTTTGTCGCAGCGTTTTGATGATGTTATTCATTATGTGAAGCCAAACCTCCTTGCTTCACTATTTATTCATGTACGGTAGGTCCATGTTTTGTTGCTCTGCCAGAAGTGCAGTGCAAAGGGCTTCATCAGATAAGTTAAAGTGTAACCGTGAAACTTATCCGCACCATCTCCAATTTGGTCCGAGTCCTGCGAGTCGTATTATAACAAACCTGCATTGAGGGGAATATCCTCTTGATCTCGAAAAACACTGCTTCTATCGATGTAGCTTGAAGCCTTCTCTCTTGTACCGTTGCATTATGCTGTAAAAACTTGCTTTATGTTGCTGCATCTTTCCCCATATAAAGGTTTTGCAGGTAGTTCCAAGCGGCTTCAGCTGATGGGTTGGCAGTGGCGTTCAAACGGATGTCGAGCTGCCCCGTCGATGTGGGGTTTCGTATCAACACCGTGTATGCAGTCAATGTCTCACTCTTATGCTTCTGTTGTTTTGTCGATGTGCCATTGGCAAGAAACATGGAGCCATTGAAGAGGTGCCAGATGCCGACTGAGTCGATGCCAATGAACTCAAACTTGAAAATCCGATTCGGCTTTTTTGTCATCGAATGTTGTTCCTGTCTTGATTGTTGTCACCTTGCTGATGCTAATCATGGCCCTCACCAGTAAACCGTCCTCCTACTGTTGCAATCCTTGGTGTGTTTGTGCAGATGAGTGAGGCGATGAAGAGCCAGCTGCTGTTCCAGTAGGTGGTGGTGTCATAGCTATAGCTGTAGTTAGAAAAATATAGGAGTCCAAGTTGTCAAACTTATACAACATTGTTTATGTAGGCTTTAGTGGGTTAGACTCTATAGGGTATAGATCTTGTTACTTGTACTTCCCTCCCTTCTAGTCGATCAATCTTTCTCGCTTCCACATGGTATAGAGCATGTTCCCCTAGTGGGAAGTTCCTACCTTGGGCCCACCGTTTTAACATTTTTTTTAGCCTGCCCGAAGCGCGCTTTGCGCCCTGCCCAGAAATTTCACGGCCCCTTAGAGGCTTGCCCCTTAAAGGCCCTTCGCGGTCCCCCCTTAAAGGCCCTTCGCGACCCCTCTTCTCGGCCCGCCCGCGGCTCTTCGCGGCCCCTTCGCGGCTCCCCCCCCTCTTACGCGGCCCCTCCGCGACTCTGCCGCCCTGCCGCCCCGTCGTCGCCGCCTCCGCAGCAGCGGCCGTCGCACCTGCTGCCGCTGCCGCTTCCGCCACGGCTGGCCGCCGCTGGAGCAGCCGCCCCTGGAGCAGCCGCCCCTGCAGCAGCCGCCCCTGGAGCCGCCCCTGGAGCAGCCGCCCCTGGAGCAGCCGCCCCTCTGCAGCAGCCGCCCCTGGAGCAGCCGCCCCTGGAGCAGCCGCCCCTCTGCAGCAGCCGCCCCTGGAGCAGCCGCCCCTGGAGCAGCCGCCACTGCAGCAGCCGCCCCTGGAGGAGCAGCCCTTGGTGCAGCCGCCCCTCTGCAATTGCCGCCACTACTGCCGTGACAGCCGCCGCCGCTCCTACCGTAGCAGCTGCCGCCGCTACTGCCGTGACAGCCGCTGCCGCCGCGGCCGTGACAACCGCTGCCGCCGTTCGTCGCGGCCGCCGCCATTTAGTAGCAGCCTCCGCCGCCGTCCCGGCCCTGTTCTGCCGCCCTGGTGCGGCCCTTGCGGAGAGTCACTACACAACGGGAGTAGACTACGGAGGAGGGCAAGGGGTTGTGCGAGTGAACGTAGCGTTCTGCTAGCGTTCGTACTGCTTGCTTTGTTAACTGAGAAGTTTGACAAGAATTCCACTAAGGAAAGAATAGAGTACAATTGAGGCATGCAGAACAAAAGACTAGAATGGCATGGAACTCCTAGCAAGGGCGAACTCTGCCAGCGCAGCAGAAGAGCGGCTTGCCAACGCTGCAGCAGAGGAGTCTGCCAGCGTTGCACTGCGCGCGGTCTGCCAGCACTGCAGTCGCAGGTGACTATCTGCAATCGCAAGTAACTGTCTACGGTCGCAGGTTGTCTATCTGCGCAGATGTGCGCACCTACCAAGTAGGTGCAGGTTGGCGGTTTCACCGTCAGGCACATTGCGCAGGTGCCAGGTAGAAAACGTGTCGTCGGTTTCGCCAGGTGCGCACCGTCGACCACGTGATGCCGTTCCGCAGGTAGAACTTCGCCAAAATCTCCTGGGCGAATGTTCGCACGCCTTCGCAGAGTTTCGCGCAACTCTGCAACTTCGAACGATCAGCTCGACTCTGCTCGGTCGAACAGAATCTACCGAGCAGAACTTCTCGACCAGAACTCTTCGACCAGAGTTCTTCGACGGAAGCTCGCCGCGCAGAGATCGTCGACCAGAGCTCATCGCGCAGAGTTCGTCGACCAGATTCCGTCGAGCAGAACACGCTCGACCGCAACTTCCGCCGAACTGCAGAAGCCCATTTCGTCGACCGATCCGTCGCGAACTTCCCGTCTACAGCGAGATCAGCTACGCTCAAGCGAGGGCGGGGCCATTTCCTTCGACACTCCCCTGCCGCGCTCACGCTTGGGCACCCCACACAGAAGGTCCACCCAGAACCCAGAGGGATAGAATACAAGGAGAAAATCCTTCTATGTGCACCCAACTTATAGCACGTAGTTCACCGCACCAGCCGTGCAGAAGGGCACGGCACCTACTGCTGCACCTCGTCATCCCCGTCGCCGACGTCGGCCAGACGCACTTGGCCGATTGCGACGGAGCACCGGTTGAAAGCCGGAAAATGCAGCGCCTTCGTCAGAAAATCCGCCGGCTGCTCGGAGGTCGGGATGTACTGCAGAGCAATTTTCCCGCGCTTCACCATCTGCTGCAGCCATGCGTAGCGTCGCTCCATGTGCTTGAGGTTGCCCTTGAGCCCCAAGCCCTCTGCGACTTTGATCGCCGACTGGTTGTCCACGTGCAGAACAGTCGGCTTCCTTGGGTCGAGCAGGCGGAATTCTGCAAGGAGGAAGCGCAGACGGCGAGCCTCCTTGCCGGCTTCTGTCGCCGCGACGTACTCCGACTCCGTCGACGAGAGCGTCGCGCACTTGATGCGCTGGCTCGACCACGAAACTGCTGCTCCTCCGAAGATGAAAATGTAGCCGCCCGTGCTCGTCCGATTCTGCTTGTCGCCAGCGTCGTCTGCATCTGCATAGCCGACCAGAACCAGCGACTCTGGTCCGCCGCCGAACTCCAGAGCGGCGTCACGAGTTTCAGCGAGGTAGTGCAGGCAGCGATCGACCTCGCGCCAGTGGTTGTCGCTCCGCACTGTCAGGCCGGATCCGAGCTTGCTGCACGCGAAGGCAATGTCGGGCCTCGTCGTGGTGGCCGCGAACTGCAGCGAGCCGACCTTCTGCCGGTACTCTGCTTCCTCGCGCGACTGAAACTCCTCGTCGTCGAAAGTCAGCTCTGCGTAGGCGTCGACGGAGACCGGCGTCTTCGGCACCCGCCCGGTCTGCTCCTCGTCGATGAAACGCCGACGCAGCTTATCGACGTACGACTGCTGGTGCAGCCACAGCTTCCTCGTAGGACGGTCGCGTACGATTTCCAGCCCGAGATACTTCTCGACCGGGCTGATTTCGCGCAGCTCGAAGGCGGCCTCCAGTAGCTCCTTCAGCTCCTTCAGCATCGCAGTGCTGCTGCTTGCAGCGAGCAGATCGTCGACGTAGACGAGCACCCAGCACGCCACTCCGTCGTCGCCGATCTTGAAGTACAGCGCCTCGTCGACCTGGCTCTTCTGCCAGTTGGCGCCAGTCAGCACCGCGTCGAGTGCCGAGTACCACAGCAGCGGACTCTGCTTCAGGCCGTAC